GTATCTGATGGAAATTGCGGCTTCTCCTGCATGCATCTGACAGCAATTACATCCAGGAGCAGCCTGCTCCTGGATGTAATTGCTGTCAGATGCATGCAGGAGAAGCCGCATGCTCCTGGATGTAATTGCTGTCAGATGCATGCAGGGCACGCCGCATGCTCCTGGATGTAATTGCTGTCAGATGCATGCAGGAGAAGCTGCAATTTCGGTCTGATACATCAAGGACAATCCTAGTTTGAGAATCCTCTCAGTCTGGTCCTCAGTTATAGTTTGATAATGCTCTCAGTCCGGTCCTCGGTCGCTGTGGACCCGTGCTCCAGCAAAGCAATGTATCTCCGCTGTGAGCAGGTTCACAGTTGCGACATGTTCTGCCTTGCGCTCAGTGCAAGTGCTAGCGGAACAGTGTGCGCCATGCTGCCTTGTCGCACCGCCCTTGCCGCCCTTTCAGCCTGTTGCCCCTGGTACCCTTTTTTTTTTGGGGGGGGGGAAGACTCTGCAGTCCTATTTGGGGGAAGGTGATAGGAGCAGGCCCCCCCCTCTCCCCCTCCCCCCCCCCCCCCCCCCCCCCCCCCCCAATAGGAAACCGCTCGCTGCCTCTGCTAGGGAAGCTGATAAGAGCACTCCCCCCTAACTGCGCAGGCCGTCTGGAAACCGGGTCCAGCGTCCCGATGAATACCGCAACCATAGTACCTGCTGGAAACCGGGTCCAGCGTCCCTCGTGAAAATAGATGGAACATAAGATGCATGCTACCTCTTCAGGCCATGAAGGTCCGCCGACTATGCCCTTTGAAACTAGCAGCCACCCCACAGCAGCTAATTCTATCTTCTCCCCCTCCTTTCCGAAATCGATGTTGAAGAGTTATGGTGCCAAATATGCCTTTTGAAATTAGCAGCCACCCCACAGCAGCTTATTCAATCTTCTACCCCTCCTTACGGAAATGGATGGTGAAAAATGAAAAAAAAAAAAAAAAAAAAGAGTTCTGGTATTTGAACCTCGCCTCCGGTACAGCGTGATTTTTTTTTTTTTTTTTTCCCCCCCCCCTTCCACACAAGAGTTCTGTTCTCGTTGAGCTCAGCTTAAGACACCTGCGTTGTCTTCTAACAGATGTGCTATGGACCATTTCTTTCTCTCAGCTTGTTCAACTTTGTTAGGGCGGACTTGCTCTACCATCGTCACTTGAATAGAACGCCTGGTTGTTATCGCTGTATCGAGGCTGATGCACTAATTTCAGCTGTAGTCATGACTGGGCGTTCTATTCGGGTGAAGACAGTAGGACTTCTCTGGCCAAATCTGAGTACTATCACATCCACAGGCGAAATCCGAGGATGAGTCTGCTCTCCTTTTTTATTTTTACTTCTTTTTTTAGGGTAAGTTTGCTTTTTTTTTTTGGGGGGGGGGAGACGCTTGGCCCGTTTCCCAGCCTGTAAGGATGTGTCTGCTCTCACACAACTAGAGTCACTCCAAGCATATGCAGAATGAGAGTTCACACAAAGTTCACACTAAAGTCCAGAGATGGAGAGACCAGATTAGCGCAGCTCATAAACTTCATTGAAAGATCATATTACACAGAGCCCGAGTTTGAGTCCCCAAGCGGTCATCAGTGCAACATCATATTATACAGATTCAGAGTTTGAGTCACCAGGCGCTCATCAGTGCAGTATCCAGCAACCTCTAATGAGTATGTCTCTCTCTCTCTCTCTCTCTCTCTCTCTCTCTCTCTCTCTCTCTCTCTCTCTCTCTCTCTCTCTCTCTCTCTCTCTCTCTCTCTCTC